TAGTAGAGACGGGGTTTCACCTTGTTGACCAGGATGGTCTCGATCTCTTGACCTTGTGATCCACCCGCCTCGGCCTCCCAAAGTGCTGGGATTACAGGCTTGAGCCACCGCGCCCGGCCGGTTCTGTTTTGTTTTATTAAATTTGAACTTAAAGTTCTCTGTGAGAAGAGATTTGTATAATAAATTCCCTGAGCCTCTCAAATTAATATTTTAGCAATAGACTCATACTTAGAGCAGTGTTTCTGATGTAATGATACACACAAGGCCCAGTGTTATTCATAGTTTCACCCTTTCTCTTAATTCTTCATTAAAGCATGTTTGAATCCAGGTAGGAGGCATTACAGGGGATAACCTTGAATTTATTTTTGAAGGGTAAATCATTTTCAAGTAGCATTAACTGTTAGTGTAGAGAACAGCATATCCTACAACTGCTCTGTGACAATGACACTATTTTTGCTACTTTAGAGAATAAGTACATTCCTACTTCATTGACTTTAGTGCAAATCTCATTTCCTGGTTTATATCCATTACAAATTAGATATGACCCTGAGAGCAAAATCCCTTAATAAACCTAGGTAAGAGCAATTTGAAGTAATATGATGCTTACTGCAGTGACACCACTAGGTGTGGTGTTTGCATCAAGTCATTTTGGGATACTTTATGGAAATGCTTCCTAGTAAGGAGTTCCCTGACTTCACATTTTACAGAGATGACTCTCTCTTTTTCTCTCTAATGCCTACAAGAACTAGACAGCAAGTCTGCATTTAGTTAGGTGATAACTATCCCCAGCACATGGTGGATTGTTAATGTGAGGTCTGAGGATTCCAGTCATTTGAAACGAATGGCCTCCTAGATTTATGGCATTTTTCTGTATATTGAGAATAGGTAACTAATATAAGTGGTAACTATATTTGCATGTGATTTGTATGTTATAGTTAACATTTAAATTCTCTTAAATGTGCTAAATTTTTTTTAGTTGCCACATTAAGCCTCTTTCTTCTCTAAGGTGCAGAGTAGCTTTCCACCTCAATTTTTGCTTTAATGTCTGAACCCTAATGGGACCATAGTTCAACTAAAAGCACCTAAGTCATGATTGATATTTGCTTCATGTTTGAACAACAAATGTTTTAACCCACTGTCTTCACTAATATTGTAACTACTGTCTTACAGATTGACTTGATGCAAAACATCACAAAGACTCCATATTATACAGTATGCGATTTTTGAGGTATGAGCTTTAGAAACTTACCTCTCATGTGGCATGTACATCAGGCTTTAACTTCAGTTTGATCATTTTGGGGAAATTTATGCATTTCTTTTTTTTCTCTCCATGGTATTTTTAGAATATTAAAGGGGCTGTAGAGGTATTTTTGGATCCTTACTAGGATTCTTAGACTTAACAGATTTTCCTTTTTCACTAAATTGAGACACTAATTCTGGCAGATGATATCTCTTTCAGCTCTTCTAACTAGCCTAACAGTTATGCCTGCTTCTTGGAGTTCAAATCTGCAATTTCTATTTTGTGGTTTTGATTGCCTCATTTTAAGTGCTCATTTCCGTTCTTTAACAGTTTTCTATTTATTGGACTGGGATGATCTTGTTGGTGCTAACAGCCTGACATTGACATTTTTGAAACTGAAGCAGTTAAGATTCTATAAAAATAGAAATTTTGTGTAAATGCTCAACCATTTAGTGCTTTTAGGTTCAGAATGCTTACAACCTGAGTTCTGGTTGGAGATGTTTTGATAAATTTGTATTGAAGTAATTTAGCAACTGGGGAGTTCTTAGGCATTTCTAAGACAGTGGCTCTATTCCAGTGAGTTTTTTGGTTATATTTCTGAAAACCCAAAATTTTTTTTTGGAAAAAAAAAAATCTGTGTTCATAATTTATGGGATTTAAAAACCTTATTTCTAACTAATGGGGAAACTGCTCTTGATTTTTACAGTTTAGTTTGAAATGAGATGCTTCCTAGTTGGAAACAGATTTGTTGATAGCAACAGATTACCTGATTGAAGTGAAGCATTTAAGTTGCTCTATATTGACTGTAAAAACTTGTTTTAATTATATTCATATACTCATGAACTGTTTGTACATTGTCTTTTAGACTGGAGACTTTGAGCTTATTTTGTATTATAGTCATAATAACTTTTAACATACCCTGCAAACTAAGCGTTTCTTTATAATTGGTTATCTTATTTAAGCTTCACAACAACCTTACATGTTAGATATGTATTATCCTCATTTTATGTAAGAGACAACCAAGGCTTGGAGATCAAGTAATTTGTGCAAAGACACACGTATTTTTTCAGTGCTGGCACTGGGATTTGAGCCCAGGTCTTTTTTTAGCTTGTATTCTCTGCTGCCTTATGTTACTACTGTGTCACCAGAAAATGATACAAATATTTAACTCTTAATAGTAAAGGTAGTATAGGAGATATGTAAACATGATGAAAACAGGAAGTGAAGGTATTTTTAAATATTGGCAGACTTCAGTTATCTTTGTGTTTCAGAATTAGTCATGTGCTTATTTTATTCCCTCATCTACTAACAGCTTACTGTGGTATTCATATAGACAAGTTCACACCCTGTCAGAAAAGGTTATAAACTCGTTTATGTTTCAGTCCCCTTTCAGAAAGAAAGTAATGGTATGCTCTGATTTATATAGATACATGTTAAATGTGCTGTTTTTAGATACATTAGGAACGTCTTTTCTTTTTGTTTTTTGAAGTGGAGTTTCGCTCTTGTTGCCCAGGCTGGAGTACAATGGCAGAATCTTGGCTCACTGCAACCTCCACCTCCCAGGTTCAAGCGATTTTCCTGCCTCAGCCTCCTGAGTAGCTGGGATTACAGGCATGCAGCACCATGCCCACCTAATTTTTTTTGTATTGTTAGTAGACATGGGGTTTCTCCATGTTGGTCAGGCTGGTTTCAAACTCCCAACCTCAGGTGATCTGTCTGCCTCAGCCTCCCAAAGTGTTAGGATTAAAGGTGTGAGCCACCATGCCTGGTCAGGAATGTCTTTTCATTAGTTTAAAAAAGTTATGCTCCATTGAGTTAATATTTTAGTGCTTATAGACAGTATACTCAGAATATTCTTGTACATTTTTCTTGAAATTCCATAGATTTTATTTTCCCTTAGATTAGAAGTACTTAGCTTTATCTATGAACAAGTGGACTCTGAATATTAGAAGCTGCTTCGTTATGGGGTCTTAGTCATTTTAGTATGCTGGGTTATGAATTTCATGAAGTTTGAGATTGAGATCCTTTAGAAGTAATGACTTGGCTGGGCGCAGTGGCTCACGCCCGTAATCCCAGCACTTTGGGAGGCCGAGGCATGCGGATCACATGAGGTCAGGAGTTCAAGACCAGCCTGGCCAATATGGGGAAACCCCGTCTCTATTTAAAAAAAAAAAAAAAAAAAAAAGTAATGATTTGTACCAGTGAGATATTCAAGTTTCATTGGACCTATTCTCTTCATTCAATATTAACAGTGATTACAGTAAGTACAGACCAAGGTATCCAACTAATTGAGCCCATGCAAAATTTTATATTTAGTATTTTTGGGAGCAAGGAAAGGCTTATACACTCTAAACAAAATAAAGGCCGGGCGTGGTGGCTCACGCCTATAATCCCAGCACTTTGGGAGGCTGAGGCGGGTGGATCACGAGGTCAAGAGATCGAGACCATCCTGGTCAACAAGGTGAAACTTCGTCTCTACTAAAAATACAAA